GTCACACCTACATTGTTTCCTCCGAACCGTAACGGAAACCTTTTCATTCTCTCACTTTTTTAAGCAGCACGATTACACACCATGTCAACACAGAAGGCGTGGCAGGAGGAGCGCGTTAGCTGAGCAGCAGCCTCGGAGCCCCAGTCAGTATCTACACAGGAGGCGATCGGGCTCCCTGTTGAGCTGTAGGTCAAATTGAAACATCCAAAGCAACAAAGATTACAGAAAGACAGCCCTGTTCAGCTAATGTCCAAATATTATATTAAGACATAATATTGGATTTTTTCACTAAAACACTGATAAAAGTGGACTGCTGCTGTTATTTCTTTTTAGGAAAGACAAACTTAACTATTCTTTGTTGAGAGGCAGGCTTGACCCTGAAACTGCATGCTCATTGGCTAACGACTAGTGATGCCATTGAGTGTGCAGTTTTGTACTGCGGACAATCCTCCATCTTGAAACACGTTGAGTTGTCCGCCAAATGGGAAATGATACGACCACCCCGACCTCCCCAAATGGTTGCCAGTGGTTCCTGGAGGTTTCTGGCTGTTGGGTGCAAAGAAGTTGCTGCTCCAATAGCCTCCTAAAGACCTCCACAGCTGCCTGTAATTTATAATGTTAGCCCAGAAGTAGATTAAATTTTTAAAAGTGTGACGCAAACCGGAAATTCATATAGATTGTCTTCAAAGTTAAAGCTGTTTGTGCCTATATTGTGGTTGTGAAAATTGCTCAACAACTGCATTTTTGTGATATCATGTAGCACTCTTCATGTCTAATGCATATTTGGGCAGAACAACTGAAATAGAAGCTCAAACCATGTTTTATACTGTCTACAGGCTTACTTACCCAAGCGTAGCATTTATTTTGGTTTATCAAATGGCCAAAAATAAAGGGAAAAAAATTCAGTGCTTAACCCATTTAATCCCAAATTTTTCCCTGCAAAATAAGTGCATGCATTTTATTCCTTAGACTTCCCCTACACATAATTTGTTTTAATGTCATAAGGGGTTAAAATGGCAACAATTGGGATCGATCATGTCTACACGTGCAGTTATCCTCCAAAAGTAGATTCTGAGCCAGAAAAAAAACCCTGAGTTATGTTCTGGAAATAGTTCGCTGCTGTTATTCTTTCTTTTACCCAACAGGGAGTAAAAGTCTGCCCTCTGAAAAAATTAAAAACCAGGGCTGTGAGAGGTCACAGCGGGATAATTTGATGGCAACAAAGTCTGGCCAGCACAGTGTCCCCCTTTAACAGACAGAGACTAAACACTCCAGGGTTTTCTGAACATGATTACCCAATGATAATTGAGCTCAGCTCCGGCACTTAACTAATTCTAACCAATCATCAACCCTTTCAGACACAATGGCACCTATTTCTAAGGTGCAAAGAGAAAAGCATAAAGTGTGAATTGGTCCAAACTAGTGCAGCTACAGCATCTTCTACAGTTTGACTTGTTCCACCTGAATTAGAAAACCAATTACCAATTAGTTCATTTATTTTCCCCCTTTATCCTGTCTTCACCAAGCTTACACTTCAGTGGGATCATTAATCTCCATCTGTGCTTAATTATGCAAAACAGGGTGGCTCAGGAATCCAGCAGGACCCATGGGACACCTACTGTGTTTTCACACTGTGGCTTCAGGAAGGGAAGAGTTTATAAAAACCTAGCCCGGAGAGAACAGGTCCCGTATACGGTAATGATAGCTTCCTTTTCTGGTAGTAGTTTAATATGCTCAAGTTCAACATGTATCAATATATGGTTGAGATAAATTAAGAAAATTTGTTACACAGGAAGCCAGCATTTGAGCTGCAGTGACAGAAACCTCAATACTGCTCTTTACTTTACTGCTTTACGATGCTAATGAAAAAAATACCTGACTGAAACAGACACAGGACAGGGATCAGAACGGGACTGAATGGACATAAATAATAAGAAGAGACTTCAGAGTCCTGTTGTATGTGGTGCTGGGGTCAATTCACAACAAAAGTCAAAGGGCAAACAGACCACGGGGGGAGGGATGCTTCCTTAGAGCCACAAAAGCGAGCGTGTGAGAAAACAAAAGACAGATGAAGGGTAAACCTTGATGGTCGTTTTAAACACAGGACAAACCAGTGTTTGCTCCCATAATTGGATTCACTGAGCATGGTTCACAAGGCCGACAGCGAATGGCTTGAGCTCGAGGACGATTCTGTAATGCTTATCAAACAATAACTGATAACTATAGTTATCGCATCAGCTTAATTACACACCGAGGCTGACCAAGAAAGCACTGGTTTTAATCGCATGGACCACGAGAATGGGTTTAAACTGCGAGCGCGAGACCCAAATGAATACTGTTAGATGCTTTGAAAAAAAGCCAAACACTTTTAAGTTCCTGTTCGATGTAAAATGTCAAGATCAAAATGATTCAAATTCATTTGAAGTCTTGGCAATGGGACTGCGGCTGTAGGCAGGTGTTTCAAGCAGTTTTCACACATGCACTGCAGACAGCACAGAGGTGCACGCAAGGACTGAAATATTACCTGCAGTCGGAGTGGATCTTAGTAGATATTCAGCCTGCCGGCTCCCCAAGTAAAAAATGTGAAGTCACATTGTACCAATATGCGAATAATACAGGTACAGCAAATAGTACAGCATTCACCGCTAGCGAGCGGGCTATAGCACTGCATCCTGCACCCCTACTCGGGCAACTTCCTCGCCTAAACCGCACAGAGCATTTCCAGTACTGCGAGCATGGCTGAAGTGGACCGTTTCCTTCTGTGATGCATGTGAGAAAGACTGCACTGGCCAAAAGTTGATGTCTGAAAATGACTGATGACCATATAACATAATGTTAGCAGCATTACAGCAACACCGGTTTGTTTACAATAAAAATGAGGCTTATAGCAGGTACTGCTTTATACTGTTTTTTGTGTTTCTATTATTTAGCCCCACTTTTTTCTCGCGCGAACTGCCTGTAAGTGTCAGAAACCATTTTTCTAGTTCAGGACATGATTTCCCTCCTTTTTTTAAAAATATGTGTATGTCTATATATATATGTGCCCGTCAAGCCCTTTTGAACCATCACATGTGATTGGGCCATGGGAACAAACTGATCTGAATCGATGACAGAATATACATTTTTATGTGTGTTTGTCTTTATGTACAAGAACATAAAACATTGAGGTTTCTAGGGTGCACATTTGTCTTAACGGCAATAATAACAATATAACAGTATAACGATAATGATGATAATAGTAACTACACATATATGGGTTTTTGCCTTGATCATCTCCACTGTGCACTAGACAGAAAGACTAATAAAATAATGCGACATAGGCTTCCTTCCATATGGTTCCCCGCAGGCGTAATAGGACGTGATCTAACAGCTGCCATCAGCTCACCTTACTGAGCAAATCTTGTCAACTATCCACGGTCATCTCATTCTTATTTTTAAGCCTTTCACCTATAATTTTAGTCTACCAAAAGAAAAGAAAAACAATCAGCGTATCAACCAATACTTGCAGATTAGCTCTACGTGCTAAAATCACACCACAACTGCATGTTACATCTGTTAGTGATGGGTTTATATTTGTAATGTTTGCAACATTACAGTAGCAGTGCAAGGTCGAAAAAGAATATCTGCCATTTCAAGACAAGACTCAGTTAGATGATATCGTACTATACATGCATATTCTGAAGGCCTGACACAGTTTATATTGCATCTTGGCGAATTAGTGTCAGGCTGCATTTCCTAGCACGCAATTTAAAACAGACTAAAAGTGGAAACGGTATTAAAAGCAGTTAACAAAGACTTCATTCAGCCCACATATTCATCATAAGGATGCAAACACATCAGAGACTATAGATTGCCTTATGCATGACCTGCACACCCACTCAAAGCAGGAAACATGGATATTACATTTCAATTCAGAGTTTAGTAAGGAAAAAAAGCCAGAAAAATAGCACAGGACACCCAAAGCGTGGTGCTTGTGAGTGGTGGCAGGCTATTTATAGGCTTACTCCAGTCAGAGAGATAACTCTTTCCTTATGTTGTGGATCGGCACTTCACAAGAGTGAGAGAAGAAGAAGAGGGGGTACTCAATGCTGACACAACACTGAAAGTGACAGAAAAGTGTTTGCCCCTCAACTTGGTGCCAGCAGGTACCAGACTACTTTCGTAGACCAAGTGAAAGATAATTACATAATAATGACAAAACAGATGTCATTCAACAACTTCAACTGGCACGCCTAATAAGGCCTGACACACCTATTTTAGACATAAGACGTCTCTGCTGTCTTGACATGTGCATGTGGCACTGTCAAGAGTGGATATCTGAATGCTGCCTGCTCTCCTAACATCTCTGCTATTCATAACACTGGCTGCAGGACACATTTGACATGAATGGAGAAAAGGAGCAAAACATCAGTTGCTGCTGCACTTGTTTTTTTTAAAGCTGAATAACGACTATTTTATACACTCTGTATCACATCAACTAAAAAATAATAATAAAAAACACAGTTCTGATACAGACAGGATGCATGTTTGGCTTTTACTGACTGTGATGCACACAGACTGCTTCACATCAGCCTAGAGGGTGAGTCTTCAAATAGTAAACAGCTACTGCATCCCTGATTAGCTCAAGTTACAGTCAGTGGCAATACTACAGTAATAACAAGCTACGGGTTATCTTCCCGCCGCCGTGCATACACAGCAGGCAAGAAACATGAGAGAAAAAGTGGGTCACTGCATATGTTGAACACGTAACCCGTAAAGACAGACGGGTGTACGGTGTGTTTTTAAGGTTGTCAGAGGGCCCCCGGTATAACGGTACAGTAGCTGTTTAAGCTACCGCACGCGACTTGACACATACACGAGTCGTGACCAGCTTTGATATTATTTAGCATGATAAAAGACACGGAGTTGACCGTGTGGCGGGAGAAATAACGAAGCTAGAACTAAGCATTGGCGTGAAGAGACAGCATTGACAGACTGTGTTTATCAATGGGGAAACTCACATCCTCGAACAGGGATCCAACGTTGGCTGTCACCAGCAGTATTCCTGTGCCTTGCGCTGCTGTCAGCTTCCCTGCCATAATTCTCTCTCTCTTATTTCTCTCTCTCTCTCTCAGGTGGGTTGTGGACTTGTATAGCGGACTTTAAAGGTAAGAACCTTTAAAAAACAACAACAACAACAACAACAACGTGAAGAAGAGGCCCGTGAATGTCTCACGAAACTGGTTAAAACACTGCGAATTTGCGACTGGAGCCCGGGTTGAGGTTGCTTGGCTGGAGCATATTTTTCAGCAGTGGCCGTACATCTACTAGGAGTTGCTTTGCAGTAGAAGGTCCGTTGGTGGTGGTGGCGGCGGTGGCGGTTTAGCGTGCTGTTTCTCGCGCTACTTTTTCACGTTCAGAGCCATCGTAAAAGTTTCGGTTTTAATCCACGGCGAGTGCAGGAGGGCTCTGGTTCATTCCAGCGACGAGTGTTTCCCTGGCTTTTGTGCAGTGTAAAAGTCTCCCTCCTAAGGCAGGACGCTTTGCCAGGACCATTGCCTTCACTGTTTAGAGAGGATAGGCTGGAGTCCTTCAGTGCTCTGACGTCACCTTACCAATGAAAACACGGCGCGTTTTAAAGGGCCAGCGCACAGAAAACACTACCGCTCTGCCTTCTAACGTCACTGCACCCATTATCGGACTAAACTGGTCTATCTCTGAGCGACTGTTTGTCTTTCTGACTTTGTCCTGATATGCTTTTTGTATAATTTACTGCAATTTAGAAAAACTCCCTTTTTGTTTTGTTTCTTTTTTAACCATTGTTGTTCCTTACATCTCTGTCAAAAGGAAATTTATGCGTAGTTCAGGATGATTGCAGTCAGATGTTACATCACTCTTTCTCTGCAACTTGTTGCAGTTCATTGGAAACAAAATTAACAAAATATATTACAATGGAAATATTTACAATGGAAATAGCCATATTCTGTTAATTAAAAAAAAGAAAATTGGTTTCCCATGAAGTGCAGCATGTTGCAGAGACATGCCCAACCATAGGCAAGGCAAGGCAAGGCAAGGCAAGTTTATTTATATAGCACAGTTCAACAACAAGGTGATTCAAAGTGCTTTACAGAGACATTAAAAAACAAAAACAATAAAAAGCATGATTTTAAATTGATTTTAAAAAACAGTAGATAAAACCAGAACACTAGATAAAATCAGTAGTTAAAATATAAGTTTTGAAATTTAAGCTTAAAAGTGTGGATTTGGTGCTTTATTCAAATGCAGCTGAGAATAGGTGAGTCTTCAACCTGGATTTAAATAAACTGAGTGTTTCAGCTGACCTGAGGCTTTCTGGGAGTTTGTTTCAGATATATGGAGCATAAAAGCTGAATGCAGCTTTTCCGTGTTTGGTTCTGACTCTGGGAACTGATAAAAAACCGGATCCAGATGACCTGAGGGATCTGGAAGGTTCATACTGGGTCAGGAGGTCACTAATGTATTTTGGTCCTAAACCATTCAGAGCTTTATAGGCCAGCATCAGAACTTTAAAGTCTATCCTCTGACGGACAGGCAGCCAGTGTAAAGACCTCAGAGCTGGACTGATGTGGTCCACTTTTTTGGTCTTAGTGAGGACTCGAGCAGCAGAGTTCTGAATGAGCTGTAGCTGTCTGACTGATTTTTTAGGTAGACCTGTAAAGATGCTGTAAAGATAATCAAGCCTACTAAAGATGAATGCATGGACTAGTTTTTCCAGGTCCTGTTGACATCAGATCTTTTATCCTTGAAATATTCTTGAGGTGATAGTAAGCTGACTTTGTTATTGTCTTAATGAGTTTTTCTAAGTTTAGGTCTGCATCCATCACTACACCCAAATTTCTCGCCTGGTTTGTGGTTTTTAGATGTATAGATTGAAGTTCTCTGGTGACCTGTAATCGTTTTTCTTTGGCACCAAAGACTATTACTTCAGTTTTGTTTTTGTTTAGCTGGAGAAAATTGTGGCACAACCAGTCATTAATTTCCTCAATGCATTTACCAAGAGCCTGTACAGGGCCTCGGTCTCCTGGTGACATTGTGATATATATTTGTGTGTCATCTGCATAGCTATGATAGTTTATTTTGTTGTTCTTTATAATCTGTGAAAGTGGGAGCATGTAAATGTTAAACAGAAGGGGTCCCAAGATGGAACCTTGGGGAACTCCACATGTGATACTTGTCTGCTCAGATGTGAAGTTATGTATTGATACAAAGTATTTCCTGTTTTCTAAGTATGTTTTGAACCAGTTTAGTACAGTTCCTGAAAGACCTGCCCAGTTCTCCAGTCGTTTGAGTAATATGTTGTGGTCAACTGTATCAAATGCTGCACTGAGATCCAGCAAAACTAAGACTGACATTTTTCCACTGTCTGTATTCAGACATATGTCATTAAACACTTTGGTCAGAGCGGTTTCAGTGCTGTGGTTCTGTCTAAGTTTTAAGAAGTAACTGAGCTGTTGAGAAATTGCTTTTTCAATGATCTTACAATACAGCTCCCTGACTGGTGATATAACATTTGACTCCAATCATCCTGAACTAGGCATGCATTTCCTTTTTGGCAGAGAGGATGAGGAAGGTTCAGGCATGTCAGGCTACTCTCAAACCACAAACCAGGTGTAACTAACATGTAACTAACAGATCCATTAACATGCAGTATATTGTTGGAATTTTCATTGCTACTTCTAATCTGCAGAGTTATTTTTTTAGTTGCTGTATCATAATATCATAAAAAAAAAACCTTTATTGGCACATTTGCAAACATATAGCCTACTTAGTTCATCACAGTTTCACAGGCTAGAGTTGCACTGGTTCATGAGGCCAGTCAAGCCTGTTTGAAACAGCTGCTGGCAGTTTACTCTCTAAAAACAGTTTGCGATGCCTAATAAACTAAGAGTTGGACAACAAGAACACACAACCTGGCAATCTAACAGAATTAAAATTTTAACTGTTGGGTGGCAATAATATACTCATAGCTAAAATAAGTTTAAAGTAACTTTGAGAGATCTTTGGCCACTAGAGGGCAAAAACGCAAATTAAACCAAGTTACTGAACTCTTGACCATGTTTGTGCCGTGATGTCCTTTGGAGCATTTTTAATCAGATTATCTATGCTAATTTGATAACTAATCACTCCACCGTCTCATTTAAATATAGTCACTCCAAAAATTATGCTAAAATAATGCTATAGTTATTCATTGCTAATATCAACATTTGTGGTTGTCTTCAACCTTAGCAGTGGCGATGTGCTGGTTGACAGATGAGGTCTGGCAGGAGTCTCTCGGCTATGATGTTTGCAGATGACATAGTGATCTGTAGTGAGAGCATGGAGCAGGTGGAGGTATACAGTGGAGAGAAGACTAATGAAAATCATTAGAAGCAGCAACACATGTATATGAATGAGAAGAGGACAGGTGGAAAGGTGAAGTTGGAAGGAGTAGAAGTAGTGCAAGCGGATGAGTTTAAATACCTATATCTGTACAGGTATGTGTATACCTGTACCTAAAGAGAGCAGCTAAAAGAAGAAGGAGATGACAATGATGATGATGATTATCTTTGATCATAGGTCTCTAAGCTGAGCATATGGAGCATGGTTTCTTGTATAGTAAATGACTGAAAGCTGGTCTCGAAGCTGAAATCAAGACCATTAAAATGAATGATTTTAGTAAACAATCTAAATAACTGTTATTTGTAGTTTGCTTGACTGTAATTAAACATCCAACATTAAGTGTACTCTGCTCTGCTAGCAGCCACAGTCAGGCACCAAAATTTTTTCTAACCTGTCATGTTCTAACATGTTGTGCTACACAATTGAAACTATAATTACTCTTTCCATTATGTGTGTGATCTTTCCACAAACAGAGACAACCCTTGCCAAATGCGGATACTCACTCTTTGATCTAAAGATTTCCTATTTGGGTTTTGGCAGAAAGAGTTTGGAAAATTTCACATTAACAGACTGCAGACCAGATCAGTATGTATCACCCTTTTGCCAAGGGGTCCTAGACACACAGCCAAACCCACATATAACAGATTTTTGTGAATGAGAACAGTTTATATTAGTTTGCTTTTTTCCTCCCTGGAATCACAAAAAAACTGCTTGTTGACCACATATTGGGATTCATACAGCATTAGCTCTCCTGAAAAGTCACTTATGACTGCTACTTTGGGTTGAAAAGCACCCCCCAATTCAAGTCAGCAAAAGTCAAACAAAATTAGTGTAGATGACAGGGTCGTGCACGCGTGTTTGCATGCACCAGGCTGGCAGCTCAATTCGTCATCCAAAATTGGAGACAGAGAAATTCTTTCTGTCACCTTTTAGCTTCTGAAACATCTGGCAGAAACACAGAAAGCAGACTCCTTTGCATCACTCACAGATCATCATGTATTAATTACACGCTTTCTTTTCACGCAGCATGATGTGATCTCCCCTGATGGGTTTGAGGGAGCCCAGGACCATAAATAGCCCACCCTACTCAAAGGTAGTTTGAGGTCAACAGCTTAGAGCAGGCACATGACATGCTGGATAACAGCTCAATGAGCTCCTGTTCTCTAAGAAGAAGTAGAGTAAGATCTAACCTCACTGAGTAAGCTAAAAAATCACATACAATGCTATGTTGCATCTGATTGCAATTACTGAGCATCTAGCTGTGCAGAGATAACACAAGGGAACTGGGGCACTCCTCAAATGATGAAAGGATGGCTCATAAGTTATTATGTTAACAGCATCAAGCTAGTGTGGCTGTGTGTTTGGGAAGGGGGACCGTGGTCACGGATCACTAATGGTCTTTAAAAGAGAGGAGAGAGGTTATTGCCAAAACGAGAGAGCTCACAGCTGTGTTTGGCATGGGAGAGTGCGTGGGTGTGTGTGTATGTGTGTGTGTCTCTGTCGTGTGTGTGCTTTTGCGATTCCCCTGTTGTCATTTACTTGCATGATTGTATGTTTATTTTTATGGAGTCTCGCCATGTTCTGTATTCGTGAACATGATATGCCACAAAATAACCATAATCAGTCATTCAGACACACAGAAGGATAATGATAACATTCAAAAGGAAGAAATTAGTACCAGTGTTATTGTGTGTGTGCGTATTCTGAAGTGTGTGTGTGTGTGTGTGTGTGTGTGTGTGTGTGTGTGTGTGTGTGTGTGTGTGTGTGTGTGTGTGTGTGTGTGTGTGTGTTCACACGGCTTTAATCAAAAATAATGGCTCAGAGCACCCTTGAAAACAATCCGAACTTTTGCACAAAAATATAACCACACTACTGCAGACAGCTAAGTAGCATTTTGGGCATTTAAACTATGTGGACTGCTGGAACATTCACAGTCTGACTGGCTAATGTTTATCATAAAGTTCACATTTTTTCTCCAGTATGTGTTTAGAAGACGTAATGCTGGGCTTGGTTGACTGAAAGTTAATAGTTTTTTTTATCAGGGGAAGCCTTAAAGAACACAAAGCTTTTTAAAAAAAAAAAAGTCAGTGGCTCCCTTAATAGGTAGAAAAAAAAGAAAAAAGGAGACAAACCAAGGTAGAAAGCTGTAGAACAAGAAAATTAAGTGAAAATC